AAAGCTATAGAAATAATATTTTATTATGCTTCTATTGTATTTTTATTAAACTAAATTTAGCTCTAGATAAGCCGATTATTTATTTGTTGAATAACTTTTAACATTGCTCATTGATATCAACTGCACTTAAAATCAATTTAAATATTTTATATATTTTATATAAAGGTCTGCTGAAGCTGAACTCTTCAATTTAAATATTTTTTAATTATCAAATTACGCCTATCGAATTATCCTGTGCAATTAGCTTAGCCAACCCACGCGAACAGCCTTTGAGACCCACACGATTTGTGTGCTTTGTGCCTTTGCATCGCAAAAGATTTGCTTTTAGAAAGACAAAGAGAAAGAGAAGAGGAGAAATAGAATAGCCATGAATGGAATGGATAAAGCTGATATCGAGGCATCATATTTGCCTTTGTGCCTACAGCCCACACAGTGACTGTCACACTCCACACGTTCACAGTGACCGTCGCCGTCACAGTCACTGCTTAGTGAAGGTCTTTTCAGAATCTCAACCCGTTGAAGCAGCTGAAATGAGAGAAAAGGAAAATTGTAATCGCGTATAAAAAGTATCTTTTCTGCTCGCTTTTAAAGTGTTTTCTCGTGTAACGCTGTTGGCCTCGGGGGCGTGGCTTTTGGGGAATGTGGCAATGCTTTAAATATTTTTACAAGTTGCAACTTGAAGCAACATTTACTGTGCCTTTTATTGTCTCTTTGCTCCGCCTTGATGTAGGTCCTTTTTTCCGGTCTGCTAGCCATGAGAATATATTTAGCTCTGGCTTTGCGTCTGGAATCCTGTTGCTTTTGGTGTTGATTCGTCTATGTGTTTCCGTCTCGTCTTCTGGTTATTCAATCAATAATGCGTTGACATCGACAGCGACGGGGCGTGTGTGTGTGGGTGTGAAAATGATAAAGGATGACGCCCTGGCGGCACTCTGACAAGTCAGGCAGTCGTCAAGCCAGCGAGTCGCCAACTTGCCAAAACAACAAATTCAGTTTGTGATTTACTTTTGGCCAAAGAGCAATGGCAACAGCAACAGGAGTCGGTTCAAGGACATGCCGTAAAGTCGTAAATGTCGCAGCTGGCGTCTTTATCACACCAATCGCTGATAAATCGTGGCGCTGCGTGTGTGTGCCATGTCAAAGCCAAAGCCAAAGCCAAACTGAACTGAAACTTCAAATTGAAACATTCCTCAACGAAAATAAGTTCTTGAAATTCGACTTTCGTCTCGATGGCTAGCGGAATTTCAGACTTTCAGAGAGCTCCACAGCTCGAGACCTTGACAGTGACCAAATCTGCAAGTTTCGCATTTGCACTACTTGACTGACTAGGCAATTGCCGTATACCCTGTAAAAAACATAGTAAGGCAATGGCATAAGAATTTGTCAGCGTGTCAGCTTATTGAGGCAAGACTTCTCAAGATTTAACTAATTTCAATAGTATTAAAGTAGTAAGCCTTATACAACTAACGAACATATATTTATATATATATCGTATATTTCATGCTATATCATCTGTTGTCTGCAAGCTGGGCTACTCTAATAGATTCAAGTTTTAGTTTCTCTTATTACAGGGTATCTCATAACTGACCTTCACATAAATCTGCTCTTTGCACTTTCGTCAATTGTAACAAGCTTCGACTATTGCTTTTCTTTTTCACTTTGTTTTTTTTTTGACTCTCGTAATTTATGCGTCTTTGCAACACTTCGATCCGCCTGTGAGTGTTGGTAAATGGCAAAAAAACTGCTTCACATTCCTTGACCTCTGCTCGCCTTATCGTTAGCTTAATTGGTAAAGTTGAGCATTATTATCAGCCCGTCGTCATCGTCGTCGACCAGACTTGGCCGTTACATTATTCACAATGCGCCAATTAAAGTTCACAATGAGAGTTTGTTTCGATAACTTTTTTGATGGTTATCGATAAATGCAGTTGAACTTTTTGTCTGCTAGTTGATGTAGATGTCTCCCTTTCTCTCTCTCTCTTTGCTCTCTCTCTCTCTCTATCTTTCTGTCTCCCCTGGCTGTATCCCCTTCTCCTTCTCTCTTTATATATCTTCAATTACATACTCGTCTATAAGTCTATTGTACCCTCCATCGATATATCTCTCATTTTCTCTTTATACTCTCTCTCTATCTCTCTCTTCCTCTGTTTGAGCCTCCTTTAGAATCTGCGACACGTGCATCGTCTCAAATTTTATGGCTTTTTCAAATTCAATTTCATTTGGACGGTTTTTTTTGCTGAATTTCTCTTGCTGTTGTCTGCTTGAGTTTTCTTTTAATACCCTGTAGACAACAGTGTGGCAGGGTACATTGAGCTAAGACAAAGCTCTTAACTAAATGTTGAGTCCTCCTTAACAATTCACTGCCTCCACTTGTAGCATATCTTCTATGTCTCTCTCTCATATAACTACCTTTCGCTTCCCAGATTATTTCTTTACAGAGTATCTCTTAGTCAGTTAAGTTGACATTTTCTATTATTTTTGTTAGCTTTTGGACTTGTGTGAAAAATTAATTTATTTGATTTGCATTTCAATTTGCTGTTGCTGTTACTGCTGCTGGTGCTGCTGCCACCTGCCCTAACTACCTCTATCTGCCCACATCTTGGCTGGTTCCCTTTCTATATAGTATATTTTCCCGTTTACATGGGAAAATTTTCAATTTGTGTCTGCAATGCTTGCCAAACTGTGTGGCCGAGCTTGCCTAACTGTTAATCGCTAATGAAGTTGCAACATCCGGCTCATCTAAACGAATTTTTGGGCAGAAATGTGGGCACACTGAAAAAGAGGCTCCAACCCTGAGAGAGAGAGGAAGTGGAAGGGGGAGAGGCAGTGGCAGTGGCAGAGGCACTGGCAGAGGTAGAGGTGCTTTGCCGACAGGGTTAAAAATCGCTGCTGCTTGACAAATGCTGCGGCAGTGAAGCATGCAACGAGCAGGAGAACGCGCTGAAGAGCCCTCAGCTGAACGAGCAGAGCTTGCCTCTCTCTCTCCTCTATCTGTCTGCCACGCTCTTTGTGTGCGGGTGCCTGAATTGGTGATGTATTGAAATTATGAAAAGGGCACGGCTGGGCACGTCATGGAACGCGAAGCATTGACAATGAGCCATGAAAGCGAAATGAGAGGGAAGACGTGTGTAGAGCGGGAGCGAGCATGGGAGGGAGGGATTGCGGTGGGGAGCGCAGCTAGACCCCACAGTCTAGGGCTTGGTCTAGAGCTGAGCTACATGAGGGCTGCTTGAAGTGCTGATTGAATGCAAAGCGGGGCGTGTCGTATTGTAAATGCCCGTGTTAAACGGAAGTTGCCAACGGGCCAACAACATCCGGAGCCCCCGCAGCCTCTACCTTACCCCTCTCTCTCCCTCTCTCTCTCCTCTCTCTGTGTGTGGGCATTTGCTAATTGATGCAATGAGAACGTAGCATATGGCATATACATTATATATATTCAGAATCTTGCATCAATTTGGTTGCATTAATCAAGCAGCAGGCGCTGGACTCTGCATTAATTAAAATTGCATCAACTAGTTGCACAGGGAGAGAAAGAGAGAGAGAGAGAGAGCGAGAGAAGTAAAGTTAAATAATAAGTGCGCATCTTTCACACAATTAATTCATATACATACATGTTCATATGTATATGCATGACCAGCCAGCCACGCCCCCCGTTTCCCAAATTACCAAGTGGAGCAGCAAGTGAACCAAAGCACAAAAAAAAGCCAATTCAAGCGGGCACTCAAGCAATGCAATGCGATACGACATAAGTTGCAGCGAGGGGTGGGTGGGGAGTTGGTGCAGTATGGAAGTGACATGAAATACAGACTGCCTACCAAGCCACCAGCTCAGCCTCCTTCCACTCCCCCGCGCCCTCGCCCTCGCCAAGCAATTAGCGGCAAATGTTGCAAAAGAAACGCAAACTCGCGGGTCAACGCGTCACTCAGAGCCGCTTGGCTGCCCAACGAGTGCCTCATGCGACTCGGACTTAGCTCTATATACGTAGACACATACATATATATATATATATATATTTATATATATATATATGTAATATAGGACTCTGTGTGTCTAGCGCACTTGTTGTTGCTGCTGCGAGTGAGCAGACAGTTGACTCGATTCACATATCAGGCTTATCAAACTCTGTGTGTGGGGCCTCTGAAACAGAAATAGAACAAAATAGTTCCTTATGTAAGCTGAAAGTTGACAAAACACTAGTTAATCATACCCTTATGAACTAGTTCTTTACAAATAGCATCATCAAATATCACCACAAAGAGTTGATTCACTTAATTTAACAGCTCGTGCAGTTAATTTGTTATTTTACTTTTCGTGTTGCTTTACTAGTTCATCAAGTGGTAGCTGTTTGAACCAGTTCACTAGTTCAGTTGAACAAACTCATGTATCAATTTTTATTTTTTATTCTTATTTGTGCTACTCAAATCAAATAATCACTAAGGCTTTTCATTTGTTCATTTGAACAAGTTCATTAGTTCATTTGAACAAGTTTATTGGCTGGTTTATCAATATATTATATTTCAAATTAGTCTATCAGCTCATTAATTATAATCACTTGTTCATTTGAACAAGTTCGGTAGTTTATTTGAACAAGTTCACTAGTTTATTTGAATAAGTTCATTAGTTCATTTGAGCATCATTATATTAATCTATTTCAGTTTAGTCTGCCAGCTCATCAATTTTGATTACTAGTTCATTTGAACAAGTTCACTAGTTCATTTGAACAAGTTCACTAGTTCATTTGAACAAGTTCACTAGTTCATTTGAACAAGTTCACTAGTTCATTTGATTAGTTTATTGGTTCTAAATTTTTAATTTTTTATGTTACTCTACTAGCTAACTACTTACCATTTTACCCCTGGTTCATTTGAACAAGTTTGTTAGCCCCGTTGAGCAAGTTCTTTCTTAACTGGTTCATTATTTCTATATTATATTTGACTTTCAATCAGCTTATTTTCACCTATATCTCACCTTTTATCTTTCTTCTTCCATTTCCTTTGCAGATGCTGAAACACGTACAAATCTCGCCGCTGCGCAATCGCTCCGATTCGCTGTCGCTGCGCTCCTCGAGCAATGCCTCGTCCTGCGCCAGCTCCATGTGCGGCAGTCCGGAGCCGCCAACCGATATGCAGCGCACGCCATCACGCGCCTCCAGCTACTCGAGCCTCAATGAGCAGCTGCCACAGGTAAGACTCAACTCGAACTGCCGCCTGACGTAAGCATGCTCAAACTCACTTTCCACTCTATCGCACACAGACCACAATCAAAGTCTACACTAACTGCTTGAAGATCGACATCGAGTACAAGACGCTGGGCATACAGTGGGACACCACGAGCAAGGAGGTGATTGCACAGCTGCTGAGACGGTAAGTGTTTGGGATGAGATCAAGTTCTGAGTGGATCTCAACTGACTCCCTTTCTCTCTACAGCTTGAAGATGCGCCATCGCGATCCGCGTCTGTTCTATCTCTCCATGGAGGTGGCTGTGCGACGAGCAGGTGTGAAGACCATACTGGTGCTGGACGAGGACACGCGTCCGGCTATATTGCAAGCCTGTCATCCCAAGGGCGAGTCGCGCTTCTGCCTGCAGCTGAAGGCGGGCGGACTGATACGCGTGCACACCTCAGCGCTGCAGCCGAGCTCCCAGTACAAGTCGCTGGTTATCAGCGAGGAGACGAACTGCGATGAGCTGCTGCAGCTGCTGCTGGGCTGCTACAGCTCCTTGGAGCCCGTTGAGAACTTTTCGCTCTACGAAGTGTGTCCGGGCCAGGAATGCCAGCGCAAGCTGCATCCGGATGATCTGCCGCTGCGCGCGCAGGCCGAGCGCCTGAGGCGTGGCGAGAGCTGTCACTTCTTGGTGCGCCGCACGCCCAACTATGCGCGACGCCGCCAGCTGCTGGCCAATCTGAACGAGGCCATCAACCAGAGCTATGAGAGCGATGCCACGGCCGTCTCAGCCGCTGCTGCTGCCGTTGAGGATGCGGATGCAGTTAGCCTGCTGGAGCTGTCGCTCGAGTCGGAGCTCTCGCTGTCGGAGGACTTGCGCAGCTGCAGCAGCAGCGAAGACGCCGAGGATGATGAATGCGCCAGCAGCTCCGGCTCCTCGGACAACTCAACTGAATGCACGCTGCGTCGCGACTTCTTCCAGCGACATACGCCGGTGCAAGTGAATGGAAATGCAGCCAGCTCTGCAGGTGCCCCAACCTCCACCTCCGCCACCTGCTCTCCGTCGCCAGCGCGCGCTTACAGCCCCGTCTACAATATACGTGAAATACGCACGGCGACGCATTCATTCTCCTCGCTGGGCAAGGACAAAAAGCTGCTGGACATACAGATGAACGCACGCTATGCACCAGCTGGCATCTACAGTCGCCTGCTGCCTGTCGCCGAGGACAGCCTCGACGGCCTCGATGTCAATGGCAATGCAACAACAGCGCCCGCAGCTGCGACAGCAGCAGCAGCAGCAACTGCTAAGCTCACAGCGGAGGCTGTTAACAATAATCCAGCCAAAGGCTTGGGCCACTTTGTCTATTTGTAACTAGTCAAGGCCACAAGTTGTACATAGAGGGAGAGCAGCAGAGAGAGAGAGAGAGAGAGAGAGAACGAGAGAGCAGCAGAGAAAGAGAGAGAGCGGAAATATCCCCAAAAAAAAAACAACAAAACGTAAACCGTTTGAACCAAAGATGCATTTGTAGTTTAAGTCAAAGTGTAAATAGTTAAGACAGGGAAATTTAAGCTTTTGTTGCATAACTAAAAGCTGTTAAATCCAAGGATACTAAAGGAATCTATAGCTTGAGGCTTTAGTCGCGTAGCTAAAGCTAAACGAAGTCGTCAGATAACAACAATTTTAACACTTAAGATAAATATGTAGAAACCAAAAAGATATTCTAATAATACAAATGAAAAAATACGAAAAAAAATGTATTTATTATTAAGTAAAAGTTGAACGATAATACCCCATTTGCTGTTGTGTACAGGGTATTTTAATAGCATACAAAATGCAAAAGTTAATTGCATTAAATGCAATATTTAAGGCTGACGTCAATCAGGCATATTAAAGCGACGGCGGCGGTGGCGTCGCCTGGTCAATTGCAATTTGTATTTTTAAGGATCGACACGACGTCGAGCTTAACTTGAATGATTTACGCTGCGTATACGCAATTTGCCTTATAAATGAGCTTACGGCGAGCGGCTTCATATGAAAAGAGATAAACAAAAACAAAACCAAGCTAAAGGTAGCTTTAATTTCAGCCATTTCAGCAGTTTTTTTTCCGATGCCTCTTAAATTACACAAATTATCAAGATTTTGCTGTGGAACGACCTTTTTTGAGTGCTCTGACTTTAGCCAACTAATTTATTAAGAAAGGTTGCCAGACTGAATTAAAAATAAACAAATTGCCAATCAAATCCAATTTGTTGCAGCCTAAAATAATAAGTCAGCGTAGGGATGCGAAAAGGTCCCAAATACTGAAAGTTTTCGGCTCGGGTAGTTTGTTTGCTCAACGTTTCTTTTGTTCAGCAAGTGAAAGTAGTCCCAACGGCGCCCATGTTTTGGCTTTTAGCAGCTACACTCCTGGCCAATGCTGACTCCCAGTTGACAGCCATATCCTGGGTTCCATCATACGATTGTTGTGATCCCAGCGAATCTATAGATTTAAATCCGTGTGCACTTAGAAATAAATCACAAATAGGAATACTTCTTCATTTCAGCAGAACTCTTAAATGATCTCCATCCATTTCACTTCCTTACCCTCCCTTGGTTTGCTTTTACCATTGATATAGTCCTATAGTAGGCTGAAAAATGTTAGTTAACAGTAACCTAACATTTCACTGTTAGTGAACATTGCATTAACTTAATTATGCTAACTTTATGTTAACTATCTTTGTTATGTTAACTCTGTGTTAGTTAGTAATAAACGAGCTGGTAACACGCTGTTAACTAACATATTTCAGCCTGTGCGCCCGGTGCTTCAGCCACATACACGAAGCTTAATGTATGCAACACATATTACTCCAATTATTATTAGAATTTAATTGATTGCAATACCAAGATATAAAATTATAACATATGAGAATCAGTAGAGCTAGAGCTAGTGGAGCTATGGAAAGCCCGAAAATCCTGTATTCGGCTTGCTAGTTGTGAGACTTCTACCAATTATTTGATTTGGTCTGGTTTTATGTTCAAGCACAAAAGTATGAAACATAAAAAGTTGCTGGGTTTAAGGCAAAGCGCCATCTATCATAATTGTATGACATTATTGAGCCGCACAAAAGTATGCAACAAATTATATATTTTATTTCTTTAACGGATTAATTAGTTGTTGCATTTGGTATTTGTTGCACTTACTTTGGCATATATCCATTGTAAATTAAACATTATTATAAATAATCATGTTGTTGCTTGCTTCATGTTTCTGCAACATTTTGAATTACTTTTGCACTGCGCTGCTGCTCTACCCACTTGCAATTCGCACTTAGCTGTTCCTGGAAGTCTTTTGTGTCGCAGTCATAAAACGCCTATAAAATATAAGCAGGCATATTTATTATCTGAACGGTAAGTTGAAAAACGTGGGCAATAAAAAAAATAAATATAAATATTATTGAAAGCCTTTGCATTACATAAAATATATGAATATATACTCTTTCTTCAGTATTGTTGAGAGAGGCATAAAATGTAGCATAAAGGTAATGGTTGCTCGGGTTTTTTTAAGTGTATGCTCTTAGCCCAAACTACACCTAAACAAAGTTGGCAGAGTCCAGAGAGTTGAAGGTAGAGCGAAACAAATGCACCCACACACACATGCACAGAGAGTGTGTACACACACACCTATACACACACATGACGTAAGTTAACACTAAGCTAAGCTCGTTTTGTTGCTCGTCCAACTAATTGCCATAATCCGTTAGATAAAATGTCTTTATCATTTTTGCTGCTGCTGCTGCTGCTGTCGTCGTTGTTGCTGCAAAAGTTGTGCGAATTGAATCGGGCTTTTGCGTGCGCTTTTTGTTTTTATACAACTAATCGGCTTAGCTTGCAAGCCACAGCCCAGAGTCCACAGCACACCACCCACCAGTCACCGCCCACAGCCCATCGCCCACAGCAGTTATGCATGGCTGGGCAATTGACTTCTTTGACAGCTGCTGATTTTTCACTTGAATGAAATTGTAATCCAGGCGCTGGCGTCAGTTGACTAACTATAGCCGTTGGTATTAATTTGTTAGTTCGTTTCATAATGCATAAGAGATATGAAGACAGCAGCTGCTGCTGCCTTTAATTAAAAAGTCCTTGTCAGCGTCAGCGTAAGAGGAGTTCAGATTAGTTCTAGTTCAGTCAGTCGTGCGGCAGAGGCAGAGGTGGTCGGAGACAGGTCTGAGGCAATGGCTGACTGCAACAGCAACTTGCATGTGTGTGGCAGCATCGTGTTGCCTGTTTGACTGCTACTCCGGCTTCATATTCGGCAGAATTTTCGTTATTGCCATTTAGCTCGAACTTGACTTGCAAAACTTTGGACTCTTTGAATAGCCTACCCTGTGGATGCAGAGCTGGCGCCTTGGGGTTGCTTAGCTGATATGTAACTGCAGACAGGGCATAGGCTAGTCGTTTCGCTTCAGACTTGCTCAACTTGAGATTGTCTGCCAGACACAGTCGCCTCATGTCCTACGCCCACATTTTTCATCAGTTTCCGTAAACATTTTCAACTCAAGCCTTTTCGACACTTTTGTCGAGCTGCTGCTGCTGCTGCTGCTGCAGTTGCTGCTGTCGTAGGCTGTTCGCCTGTTAGTTGCATTTTTAAATTTCGTCGACCTTTTCACATTTTTCTTTTTCCCTTTGTCAACTGCAAGCAGTGGGAGAGAGACAGAGGCAGAGCAAGATAGCCAATATGTTGCCAGCTGAGTGCTGAGGGAGGGCGTACACAGTGCGTATGATTGATGTTGTCTGCATATGTTTTATTTAGTTATTGAAAGCACACATACACACACTCACTCTCTCTCAGCTTGCATATATCATGCAGCGCTTATCTTGACTGCCATTCGAGGGCAGTTACTATGATTTATGTCAATTCACAGCCGTCGCGTCGTCGCGTCGTCGCTGCAACTTGCTTTTAATTATGAGCAATTGCAGGCGCAGAGTCGAACAGGAAAGTTGCTTTGCCACTTGACACAATTTATGGTCGTCCTTCTTCTTCTTCTTCGTGTTCCTTTGCATAACAAAGCAACGCCCGCGCAGCTCAACAAATGGCCAAAAACAAACAAAGAGAAAAACAAGTGCTCGAGCTTCACTTTTTGCACGGAATTTTATTGCAGATTTGTTGGCTTTTTCCTTCTACCATTTGGTTTTTTCTTTTGGCCATTTCTTCTCCTGATTTTAATTTGGCTCAAAGCGAGAGTCGCGTGGTAATTGAGTTTCCACGGCTTCGCTTTGTGCGCTGAGAGCGCGTCCTTAGCCTGCTGCAGTGCGCCAATTGCGCGCTCGTTGACAAATGGAAAGCAGCAGCAACAACAACCACAACAACAACAACAACAAACAACAACAAATATGAAAGATAAAAGCATTTTAAAGCGCTTTCGCTTGAATCTATTTATTTTGGCATTATTTTGTTTGCCTGCCTCAGTCGTACGTGTCTTTTGCCTGACCCTAAAACCAGTTGTCAGCGAATTCGGCCGGCAATCAAATGATGGAAATTCCAAGCGCCGTTCGCTTGCTGCTGATAATGCAAAAATTATAAATCAAAATCAAATCAAATCAAATTTAAATAAACCAAAATCAATTTCGCTGCTTACGAAATGGAATTCGGCTTGAAGCTGAGCGAGAGCGCGCGAAGATTTGACTGCAAATGCTCGGCTAGTAAATGGGCTTAATCTACATCTAATACAACTGCTCAGGCCAGGGATTGTCATGGCCATCTCTTGCTCCTCAAGTGAACTATGGCTTTACCAAATGATCAAGCTTAGGAACATGAGAGCTAAGTTCTTTGACTCTCACTGCTAACTTCTATTAGTAGAGATTGTAGAGAGTATAAGAACTGTCGCCTCTGCTAGCAGGCAGAACAGTAAGAGCTGGCTAGATCTGAACTTTGTCTACTTCTATATTTTTCAGAGGTTTCACTCTTTTCAGCCTGCGCCTTCGACTGTTGGTATTACTTGCCCAATAGCTGCGAATTGATTTCACAGAGTTCCTCAGAAGCCATTTTCTATCGTTCAAAGACAGATATCTCTGTCTCTACATAAGTCTAAGCTGGCCATTGCTACCAATATCCACTCATCTATATTGCAAGTATTACCGCCTAAGAAGTGGGCGTGTAAGCCTAGAATTAATCATTAATGCGAGCATTTATATATTTCTACCTTTATTTAGTTCGCTTGCTGCAGCTCAGTTTTAAGCCTTATCTATTGAGTGGGCCCAGTTGCCAGTATAAATATCTTAAATTCTAGACTTAATTACTGATAATGTTGGCAGAATGCAGCAGCTTGCAGTGGACACAAGGTGCTTGGTCCTTTGACCTGGTGACAGCTTTGGTTGCATGGGACTCTTAGCAGCGATGGCATTGCGTCAGATCATTGAATTCTCTCGACAGCTTCACTGTGCAGATAAATCGTAAATTCAGCCTGAGCCACGTTAGCAAAAAATATGGCTTTGGGGGAGCCTTGGCTTGATGCCAAAAGACTTTGCTTCGATAGCTTTGAAGGCAAGAAAACTGGATTCATAATTATTGCTATAATAAGAGAATCTTAGACGTCGCAATGGATGCTAGGATGTAATTTGAATAATAATAATAATAAAAATAATAATAATAATATTAACAATTATATTAATAATAATAATTTAATGCTTGGCTTTCTAACTGATAGGAAACTTACCTGTTATTCCATCATATAAATGTTTCTATCTCAGATAATATGTAATATATAATATATAATATATAATATATAATATATAATATGTAATATATAATATATAATATATAATATATAATATATAATATATAATATATAATATATAATATATAATATATAATATATAATATATAATATATAATATATAATATATAATATATAATATATAATATATAATATATAATATATAATATATAATATATAATATTATTTATATAGTTACAGTTAGTAAGAGGAGACTCTATAGACCTGCTGAAAGGTAGCAAATGCTTAAGACTTGATGCCATCTGAGTTGAATGTTAGCTAGTTTATTCGTATATTTGGTATCACTTTAAACGAGACGTCTTACAACTATCAAATGTGGACACGCAGCGTGTCCTGAGATATAGAATTATTCAAATACAATTAGCGAGCTGGCGAGCTCTCACTCGGCCCTCTGCTCGCTCTTAGCCTGTAACGAATGCGGCTTGGTTAAAAAATTGGCGTAGTTCCTTCGAGTTGATAGATTTATAATCCCATTAATGAATGGGATTTATTTGAGTGTTGCTTGCCAAGCAATTGGGACTTCCTAGGGGAGAATCACATTGAGCTAATCCGTTGGGTTCTACGAGCGACGACCGAACAGCCTGAAGCGCGCCTTCCAGCAGCTTGGCCATCATAGCTGCTCGTTGCCAATGTGCGTGGTGTCCGTGGGCAGCGAGTGGGTCTGGAGGCGAGAGAGACACGGTTAGCAAGGCAGGGCAAATGATTAAGCACCTGGCCACTGCATACACACCTGCAGCGCCTTGCGCTTGTGATGCATCGATGAGTTCGAGGATGACTTGCCCTTGCCCTTCTTCCACGAGCAGAGCAGCAGCTCCTTCATGCCCTTGCGAAAATTGCGACTGAGGAAGGCGTAGAGCAGGGGATTAACTCCCGAATTGAAGTACGTGACCAGAAAGGTGAGCGGCGTTAGCAGCGCATTAAAATTGGAATCACCGCGATACGAACGTGACCTGCAAATATATAAAATAATATATAAATATATAAATACATAAATATATATATATAGAGAATATTTAGTATATGCAAATGTTGCCAACTAAATGAGCATGAAAACCTGCTCGAAATTGACAAAGGCGGGAAGAATACTGTTAACAGTTTCAATTTTAATATAAAAATTAATTTACATATTTCTGTAGCTGCTGGCATCTGTTAGTTTACAGCTCTCTAACAGAGTCTGTTATCCATATAAGTCTCTGGCGCTCTTTCGACTCAACAGAAATGACTGCTTAGTGGCTTTTAAGCGCAGTTTGTAGCGCTTTGTTTTTGGCCAACTGTCTTCTAAGTGTTTTGGCCAACTTTTGTTGCTGCCAAGTCTGAAGTATTTCAACGGATTTTTACCTGCTGCAGTTGTTTGTTCGCACTGCACGCATAACTTTCGGCAGAGTGTAAAGTTTTGCAACATCTTCAAGCTAAGAGCTGAGAGCTGAGAGCTGAGAGCTTTGTTTATGGAGCGACTAATTAAAGGCAAGACTACGATATACCCTGTACTAAGTGCGACAAACTTGTTTTGTTTTGCTAAATTTCTTGCTTTATCTGGATTACTCTAATTGACAGGAGATTCCCTAGTCTCATTTGATATAATAATAAAGTACGCTAGTTAAAATATAAGTTGGCAATCGCTTCTACTCAACACCAACTGGCCAGCTAGGGTATCGGCTAGTCGCCATCATCAAGTTTTGTTTACAAACTGGACAAGCGCAAACTTTTTGAAGCAACTGTCAAAATGTTTTCGGTTTTCTTTGTCGTTGTTTGCCAGTTGACAATTTGCGCTGCACTTGCAACTGGGGCGTAAGGGGCGTGGCTAACTGATTGGCGGTTCTCAAAGGTCCAGGCCAACTGTGCGCTGCTTGAGCTCTCAAGTGGCTTTCACAATTGACTTGCAAATTGAAAGCAAAGCCACGAATAGAGACTAAATACACCAAGAAGAAGAAGAAGAAGAAGAAGTACAAGACGACGAGACAATCCAAGGCAGAAGAGTAAGGCCTTAGCGCCGCATGGGGTGACCATTTGGCTGGCAATCTATATAATAAGGCAACATTAGGCGCAGCTCTAACGTCTGTCCTGGCTCCAGGCTGGGACTGTCGTCTGGCCTCGTCTGGCCTTCCGGGCCAATACGGATCACGTGCCCCACGCTGTGCCCTGTCGTCTGGCAATGTGTATTAATATAAATGTTAACGTCTCGTAAAACTGGGCAAGCGTCTGGCAATTGACTGCACATGGCCAGCAAATGACACAATTTTGATGGAACAGCTCGCAATTCATTAAAGCTGCTCTGGTCAGAAAGGAAGACATTTGAGAGCTAGGCGCACCTCAAGTGCGTTAGAAAACAGCTAGCATATATTCTGCTCTGAATTGAGTAAGAGAATTGGTTGGAAAGTTGGCCTAAAGAAGAACCTGGCTAAGCTGGCTAAGAGTGACTTAGCCTCAGTGAGTTTTAGTGTAAGAGTAGAGTCCTGGCAGGTAAAGATCTGCTTTACATTAGTGTTATAGTTGAGCCAAGAAGAGACAGTTGCATAAACGGAAGACAGATGTTATCTTTGACAGTTGTCTGGCTACTAAGTCTACTCTAGGGCAGTCTAGTCTAGTCTACTTTGGGACAGTCTAGTCATAGTCAGCTTATGCAGCTCATCTAATGAGAACTCAAATCAAAATGAGTGTATTTTGATGCCTTGCGATTTTAGGGCACATTCTTGTTGTTGAAATATATACAACAGGCACAAAGAGGCGTGGTCGTTTGACCAGGATCAACAGAAGAGCTCTTCTAGTAGCTTTGTCTATCTCTCATCAATCTAGGAAGAAGAACAAAAGTGTTCAGTTCTGCTTAAGCATGAGCCAGAATATTTCATTAGAGTCCTTAGTTGACTTAGTTTATATATGCTGCATTATGTGAGGAACCATGAGCTATATCTATATTTATATAAGTTAGGGAAGTCTGCTAGTCAGGTATACCCGTCGACTAACTAACTCACTTCTGGCTTCACACACGCTTCACATTGTTTCATCAAGTTCCTTTACTGTTTTCATGTGATTCTCACCATAATTTAGAGCTAACAGAAGTAAGGGAAATGAGTGTCCTCAAGTCAAATTGATCTATTGTTGGGAATAACTGGAATTTCGCATTTGAGTTGATCGTTTATTATGATTAGACTGTCAGACATGAGCGCTAAAGGCAGCTGGAAAGTATTTTGCATTTAGTCATTTGTTTGCTTTGGCAAAAATATTTTATTTAATATTCACGAATCGGTCGACTGCGCGCGTTCTGCTTGAAAAATATTAGAAATAATATTAAATTGAATATAATATTCGCGGAATATATTTTCGCTCGAATTGCTGAAATGCATTTTGCGCTTGTTATGTTTGGGGCGATTTTGTGGTCGGCATAAAATCCAAAATAAAATTTATTTGTTTTCCTCTGCTGCACACAGAAAACAATGCACGCAAATATCTCTGTTTAAGCTGACTTTAATAAATGTTTACTTCACAGTTCACACTTCACATTTCACATTTCACATTTGGTCTTTAAGTCTGCGTGGGCGTTCGTCAATTGTTTGTATCGAATCATCTGGTCAGCTGCCAAACCAATCATCGACTCGCCCGCTCTGCCCCTCACAACTGACCAAAAGCTGTCATAGAATGGAAAATCAAACATGACCCACATACAGCAAAGGCCCAACCAAATCGAACATCTATTGAAATGTTTGAATGGGGCAAAGCAAAAATATGGCTAGGGCAAAACCCAAAAAAAATGAAGGGAAAATAAGGAGAGCAGGGATGCTGTGAGTAGCAGTCAGTCAGTTACTCAGTCAATCACTCAATCAGCCACTCAGTCCCTTGCTCACTCTATCAGTCTGTCAGTCACTCAGACAGTCAGCCAGTCACATAATCAGTCACTGAATAAGTCACTCAATCAGTCGCTCACTTAGTCAGTCAGTCATTCAGTTGGTAACTCAGTCTCTTACTCAGGTCGTCAATCGCTCAGTCAGTCAGTCAGTCATTCAATCAGTCAGCCACTCAACCACTGTCAGTCAAACACTCAGCCACTCAATCACTCAGTCAGTCAGTCAGCCACTCCCTCAGTCAGTCAGTCATTCAATCAGTCAGCCACTCAATCACTGTCAGTCAATATCTCAGCGCGTCAATCACTCAGTCAGTCAGTCAGCAACTCCCTCAGCCACTCAGCAAGTCCTTTAGAATTAATTTCTGCAAAGACATTTGCCACGAGATGATGCGCTGTAATTTTGGCTAATGCCTCAAATTGCCAACAAGCTTCAAGCTGATCACACACTCAAATTCCTCTCAAAGTCATTTTGAAGTAATAATTCATATATATATGTATATACGCGTGTCTTTCTGCATTCGCATATTTACTTTGATTGATGGCCGCACAGACAAGACAAAGTCCAAGTCAAGTGAATTGTTTCAGCTTTTTTTGTAGAGCAGACAGAAATATCTGTGACACTTGACATAATTCAGAATAAAACATGACGATAAAAATAAAAATATATAAATTTGTGGAAACAAGACTTAACACATACTAACGGAATGTTTGTGTTTTAGAGCTCTAAATTCGGGCTTTTTAAGGCTTTAATTTAATGCCAAAAATGTCATCATTTCACATTTTCAGTTGGATTTTCTTTAAATTCTTGAGAGAATGCTTCTCAGTTACGGTCGGTTTGCGATTGAAGCTCTGATTGACGTACTATATAAAAGCGAAAAGCCAAAAAAATCAGTTTTTACTGAGCTGACTTAAAGAAACATGTTTTAGTCTTGGAATCTATAAAAGAAAACGTTCAAGGCTTAAGTCAAAATTAAGTTTAAAATATTTTATACAAATGTTAAGCTTAGTATATATAGAATTACATATATTATAAATAAACTAAATCTGTATTTATATAATTTTGTATGTTATTATTATATTATTTATTATATATATTAATTACCATAGCAATATATTTTTTAATTTTTTAATCCAATTTCCAAGTAGAGAATATAATTTGCTTTACTGATTTGTATTTTATTTATTATTCTATTTTAATATTGAACAAAATAAAAACCAAATTAAGAATATTTAATTTTAAACTGAGTAAAAGTATTTAATAAAATTAATATTATGTAAATATATATACATTTAATTTCCTTCTGTTTATGTATTCTCCATCTAGCCAGCCTCGCCTTTAATAAGTGCTTAAAGTCCACGTTCAGTTACCTGTTAAATAGTCTTTGAAGCAAATGCGCTCTGCATAACAATTAGTTCGGTATTCGGACTCGCAGAGGCTGAGCAGTCTTTTTGCCAATCTGAATGGCAATTGGGCCATTTTAATTGACAATTTAATTGTTTGCGCCGGGACAGGTACTGAGAGGTAGGTTGGAGTGTATTATTTATTGCACGGCAGATGGCTACGAGCTATATGCAAATGATTCTCAACTGTTTGCATAACATAAAATGGCGCAGATGCTTATCCTACTGATGATGATGATGATGGAGATAATGAAGGCGACAGACTCTATCTACTGCACTGATGCAAAGAACTATTCGTCTTTATGCTTTCATATTTATTTAAACTTAATTTAAATTTGTTAAATTTACTAAGTAATTCTTTAGTTTATATTTCACAGAATCAATTTTATAGATTTTTTCGCTCCTTTGCTCACATCACAAAAAAAAAAAAATAAATTTGAAGTTCTCTCAGCTCAATTACATAAACTTAATAAATATTTTAAGCACTTTGATTTACACTTGAAAAAAAAGGAAACTCGAATATTTATGAAAAATTGATTTTTTAACAACAAAATTCAGTTGAAAATGAAAGGCAAATTTGAGAATTTTGTAGTTGGCATTCATATAGAACTCTTGAAGTACTAGTCTATTTACTGCACAGTGAATCATATGCGGTTTTCTCACAGTGTAGCACTCACCAGTATTGCCACATTTTGCGCGCATGATACGGCAGGTTGCAGAGCGCGAATGTCAGCACAAATATTATCAGCATGCGGACCACGCCTCTGCGTGCGCGTAGTACATTGCTCGATGAGTGTGACATATGTGCGGTTGCCACGCCCACACCGCCACCGCCGCCATTGCCCTGCCGCTGGTTGTGCGTGTGGGAGTGATGATAGAAGCTCGTTTTGCGACAAGCGCTCACAATGGGACGATCCGCCTCCAGGGAGACCTGCATTAGTAATCGAGGAGAAGTTTATGGGCATTAATCATACGAAAACGATTTTATGCTGTAGAGCTTTGAGAGTAGTTCTCTCATTAATAATTTAAGCAAATACGAACCTTGCAATTATCAAGCTAAGTTGTTTCGTGTCGTGTTGTTTGTTGGTAGAGAATGCAAATCAAAGTTATTGCAGTGTTGAGTTAAGGGAAGGAAATAAGATAAAGAGAGAGGGAGAGACAATAGAATGAGTGGGAAAGATAGAGAGAGAGAGCGAGAGAAAGATATATAACACTTAAACATAAACTGAAATAGTAATAGAAAACTTTATAAAGAGGGAGAGTTTTAAAAGAAAATTTTTGTTTGTCAAGTTATTTTGTTAATAAAGGCAGAGAGAGAGAGAGAGAATTTCCCTTTTCAACTCTCAATTATAGTCGTATATAATGTAATATTTATTACATAATTAATTACATTTAATATTAATATATTTTTATTTTTTCATTTTAAATTATTTTTTTTATTAGTTTTTATTAGTTACATAAGGCACTACTATTTCTATGAACAGCCGATGCACATCTCTTAGATCGTCAAAAACAAATGAATTCTGACCGAAAGTAATGGTAGTATTTTCTCAATTTTCTTTTCTGACTTTACTATTTTTGTAAACATAACTGTACTTAATTTAGGTTATCTTTAGTTGGCAATCATATTTTAACTTTAAAATATGCTTTGAAGGCAGCACATAGTTGTTTGATGGCTTCATATTGTACGTATAATCATTATATCAGCCCCAATTTATGTCGGCTACTTGGTCGGGCGCTCAATTGAGGCTAAGTAAGTGGCATATTGATATATTGCGCATACGCCGCGTGGCACAGCAGCTGACTGCAATAACGCACATTTCAGTTGAACTTGCCACCGGCTTGGCTTAACTTGCCAGCCAGCCAACTAGCTGTCTCTGCATTACTCTCTAATACGCTGTGACACCTGCTGCTGCAGGTAGTTGCGCAGACCAAATTGCCATTTCAACTGCAATTTCCACTTGCCTCTCGCTCAACTTCAACAAATATTAACTATTATAAGCAACTGCGAGCTACTTACACCTGCCAAACAGCCAGCACAGTTCACACCTTCACACAAAGTCTTAGAAAGTTAGGAAACGCGAATGCTTAAAATTTGTTGTTCAAATATTGTTTTTCCTTACTTAAGCTGGGCAAAAGTTTGCGCTGAATTGAAAAGCTTTCATGTGCACGCTATATCAAGTTTTCAATTAATAAATATTGAATTTTATTCCACTCACATTTCATTTTACTTCTGATTAATGCAGTAAATATTTTCAACTGATACTCATATATACATGTATAATTTGAATTGCCTCAACTTAAATTATTTAAGTCTTAATTACCTTTCGTATTTAATATGTTTGTAATTTGACACGAACGCGCGACCACTGATTGTCAAAGCGAACAGAAATCACTCAACTCAATTTGCTCGCACGCTCTCATCAGCTCTCATTTGCATAATCAGTCAAAGTATTAAACAGCGCTTAAAGTGTGGACGCTAGAAGCTAATGAGTGAGTATTAGCGAAATACGCTCAACTCATCTTCCACTTCAATACACAGCTCACTTTTGATCAATCGTGTTTACGATCCAAGCTGTGCTCAGAGCAAATGGGTGAATGCAGAAAATATTCTAACCTTGCTAAAGCACAAGACGCAAATCTAACGGAGCTAGCAACTCCTGTCTACGCTACGCCTATACTAATACATGTGTAACTTAGACCCTCAACTGAAAAGACTCAACTTAACTGCAGGAGTATTTGTGGATTTTGTGCGCTCACTCAAAGTAGTCGCAAGCGACTATGTGGAACGCCTCGAGTCAATTATTAGTAAAACACTCAATTCAACTTCCACAAAAGCACTCAATTTACTTATCGTTTACGATCCAAGCAGCACTCTATGCTTTCTGTGGACCTTATCTTTGTCGCTTATCTCTTATACTATGTTAAATTGAATTGTGCTTCATTTTGACATTATGTTAAAAACTCTTCTATTTCGTACTCTTCAAACTGTAGCCGCGCGACTTTGTCGTGCACTTCTGAGCGCAATTCCCAAACCATTTTACTTATATATATATAGATATATATAAGGATGCTTTTGCATAGAACTTGACATTGCTTTGAATGCTTAGACAGCTAGAGTGTAAAGCGAAACACCTGTGACAAGCCGTTGTTGTCGTTGTTGTGTTGTTGTAGTTGTTGCTGCTGAACTCACCTGGCTCTCGGTGATGCTGACGCCACGCTTTTCGTATTTACTGCTTTGTTTACGTGACAAGGACGTGGAGCTGCTGCCGGAAGCTAGCGACGAGGCTCCAGCTCCTGCTCCGGCTCCTCCAACGCCACTTCCCGCTCCAACTCCAGCTGCTCCTCCTGTCCCTGACGATGCTGGCAGCTGATGGAGCTGATGATGATGCGGATGGGTAAGCGGATGTGCGTGCTGATGATGATGATGATGATGATGATGGTACATGCTGTTGTGCAAGCTCATGCTATTCTCTGGACCAGCCTGATGCTGCTGCTGCTGATGCTGTTGCTGTTGTTGCGTCACATGCGGACTGAGACCACGTGAACTGCGCCACAAAGCGATGGCTATTTTGCTGTACAACACCTGTCAAAATAATTTATGGTTATTTTTATTGCAACTATAGAGTAGATGCTATAAACTTGTCGTCATAAGTGGGAGGCATGACTACCAACATAACACCTCGGCATATTGGAGCATGCACACCTCGTATTTACATCTTCTTGGTAACTGATTAACTGATTAACTTCTTATCTCTCATCTCTCATTTGTCATCTCTCATTTGCCATCTTTCATCAGTCACTTCTCATCTCTCATTTGCCATCTCTCATCTCTCAAATCTCATCTCTCATCTGCTATAGGGCTTCAGGTATCTACTAGTTGGGCAGTCTCAAACAACTCGTCCCATTTCGTATATATGTACCCATAATCTCAAATTCCTCATCTAGCACTTACTGTCATGACCAGCAGTGGCATTACGTAGAGCAGCACAAAGTTAATCATGTCGAGCAATTTGGAATTGAACATTTCCCGATCCAGGACACAGATCTCCTCCTCCTGCCCATCCTCGGTGTGGATGTTCTTGATGGTCTTGCTGAAGACAAATTTGGGCGTTGAATAGACGGCCGACGTTATCCACACGGTGACAATGACCATCTGCAAAAGTAGATATTTTTACCAGGTTGTTACGTAAGTGGGGCAAGTCGAAACACGCTAAGCTAATTTTTCACTAATTGTCAATTGTCACACACAGAGTTGCGGGTGTCTTTATGTCAATGGACATGTCTAAGCTCTACTGCCGTCTAATGGGGTCTATTAACATTAACAAAGCAACATTTGCCTGGACAATGCCAACGCGTTTTCTATGTATATCTATTCCTGGAACTTTCTTTATTAGATTAATTGGGTCAATAATTATGCCATTGATAAGCCTCACCCTGCCATCGGCACGGGCAAAACTTTGCGTGACCCAAAGCAAAAAGTTTTCTTTTTGGCCCATTAAAACATTAAACCTTTTCGGTAAGTTTCTTCCAGTCGCAGTTTAAGAAGTTTCATTAGCGCATAATTTGCGGTCGAATTTCCTATTAAAGTGCAATTGAATTGAAACCTTTCCAATTCCAAAGCTATTCAAACTAATAATCTAAAGAATTTTTTAAAGAATTAACTAAATTTTATTATTTCATTTTATATTTCATTTATTTAATTTTAATATTTATATAATATTTAATGTTTAATGTTCCCGTTTCCACTTCAATTTGCTTATGTCATTTCCTCACAATCAGCAGGATTGTGGATACACCAATGTGTATTTATAGCACTTTAGATAAACGACATTCGTTGGCATACGAGAGCAAACAAATCTCTTATCAATAAGCACAAACAAGTACAAGTGCTCTAATCGGGAGTGACCGACTTGGCGATACCCTAAACTCTGCGCAAGACTTACATATGCATACTTTAACAGCATACATTAGGGTTTACTGTTATAAGTTATTTATTTATTTTATTTTCTAAATGGACTTTCTTAGCAATATACATATATATACAATATACATATATATATATACAATATACATATAACACAGTAAACCCTAATATATTTTTATATATATCTGTTATGCATGCATTCTTCTTAGTTTACTATATTCACATCATGTTACTTTTAAGCGGATTTCCGCTGATTACTTAGTACTTAGTGCGACAATCGGCAATCGTTGAATATGCTTTTGAGCTTGCAGCATTTATTCGATTCGTAATTTGAGTTAGTTGAATTTTAAGTGCCGGAGAAAGAAGAACGCTACTCGAAGTCTGCTGTTGCGCTCTAACCACTGTCTATATAAGTTGGTGTCTATATATTTGATATGAAATATATAAGTGTGTTATTCGTTGTGTGCCTAGCTTGGCAAGTTTACCTGGCTAATTGTGATGGCTTTTGGGACTTAGAACTTCGTCCTATCTATGAACAGGCGGCGTCCACTGAAAAGATTGTGGATGCTGGGCCAGACTTTACCGAAAACTATCCGACAATTTTGGATGCCAAAACTGACTTAAGTGAGACAGTTGGTAAGTTATATTCTACAACTTTATAATCTATAACTTGTTGACAGAAGCAGATAATTGCAAGTTCATAATGCATACAAATGCTTGATCAATACCAACAGCCGAAATATCCTTGTCTATCTGTGTGTCCATATATGAGCTGGTGACTTGAGTTTCCTTCATTATCATTAATAACTGATCGACAAATCAACAAGCGATATAATCAAAACATTCTAAGTGAAACTATAGTTATTTGAGCATATTTCGTTCATTAGCATATTAAGATCAACTGCTGAAAATTTTATCGAAATCCGTTGGGAAACACAAAAGTTATTCAAGCAAACGTGTCATCATAGTGCAGTCAGCGCCTTGAGCCAGGCCTTTGCCCATCTGTGTGCACGCATACATAGGCATACATAGACGGTGAACTGTCTGAAGGGCATTCTATAAATAGAATAACAACTGCGCGTTCGTTTTGTATTGGCAAATCTATAAGTAACGCCAAAGAAGCTAGTGCTATGGCTCGAGACGATGCCTGACATGCAGACGCGAATTCAAGCCCAGCAGCAGGAGCAGAGATAATTTATTTAATTTCTGTTTTTAAGGTCAATATCTATAAACAATTGTATGCCAAAGTACATCGTTCTAATGCCCATATCGTGCTCAGGCCTTACAACTATGTGTCGTACCATTACCTATTTACAAATAACATAAAAGTTTTAAAACATTTTGTAAAACGATTATGGATAAATGAAGTCCGAACGTCCGAATGAAGTGTCTAACAAATCAATTTAATCGATGTCTGTATTAATAATCGAAAATATTATCAGACTCGTTTGGTAAAGAATTTTTAGAAATAAGAGAGGATGTTAGTGTAACTGCTATTTAAACTATTTTCTGTTCCTTTTGAATATTTCAAAACAGATGTTGGCGAGGTGAGGTGCAAAACGAATGCCGAGAACGTGACGAAATTGGAGCAGGAGGTACGTGCGTTTAGGTCAAAGATTGTCGCCGATGCTCGCAAAATGCAGAAACTGAAGGAAATTGTTGCCGTCTATGAGGCACAGATTGACAGCTACGTCGCCTCCCTGGCCGAGCAAACCGAGCAAATTGGGTATTTGAACAACACAATCGCATATTACAAGAGCAGCTGCACCAGTAAGGACAGTCAGATAACTGAGCTCCTGGTCAGAGCTGAGGCGGATGCGTCGAGGCTGAAGCAAAAAGAAGATCAAATTGCAGATTTCAAGGAAAAGCTCGTCAAAGCCGACGCATCCAGCTGTCTGGCCTATGGCAGCTCCACAGCCATCCAGATATTGAATTTGCCTGGGATCAGTCCGTTCCTGGCGCCCTGCGAGTCGCGCCACAATGGCATAGGTTGGACGGTGATTCAGCGGCGTCTCGATGGCAGCGTCAACTTCAACAGGAATTGGAATGATTACAAAAATGGCTTTGGCAATTTAGATGGCGAATTTTTCATTGGCTTGGAAAAGCTGCACAGGATGACAGCAGCTCAGCCACACGAATTGTTGATATATATGGAGACATTTGATCTGACTGGTAGAGATTATAAATTCTCACTATTTGCTATTGGAAGCGAAGAGGAAGATTACAAGCTAACTGTAACGAATTATAATAACGATTATTATCAACATCCATTAATAAGAGTTAACGGACAAAAATTCAGTACATACGATCGTGATAATGACAATTTTTGGCTGAAAAACTGCGCCCAAGAGCTTAAGAGCGGTTGGTGGTTCGACTCTTGTAGAAATACTATCGGGTGAGTATGACCAACTTATCAATCAGTATAAACGTTCATATTTTCCCAATGACTCTGCAGCTTTTCCAATCTTAATGGAGAATACAAATCTTACGTAAACCCACGTGAATCCAATAATTTTAATGGCATTATATGGCAGAATACTTACGGTTCGCATATAATGAAAACAGTTCAAATGATGATACGCCCCATCACGGAATAAAGCAAAGAGGGTCTTTGCAAAACAGCATTTACTTATATTATTGTCTGAATGCGAAAAAATATATATGTATATCTAAAAATATATATATGTATGTCTAAAATTGTGTAGGTTATATTATTATTATTATTATATTATATAATATATATATATTTTAGTAAGTTTCGTTTATTTGTTTCGATTAAATTTATTCTTTTCACCTCATAGGCGAGTATAAATAATCGCTGACGTCGTTTATATATTTAAATTAATTCAATTCATATTAAACAGTGAACTAGACTGTCTTAAGCCATGCCAATATGCCATTATCAAAAACTTACCCTTAAGCGTGCAGCTGTCAGAATTTGCTTGCACGTTATCGGATGGACAATGGCAAAGTAACGCTCCATGCAGATGACGACCAGAATAAAAATTGATGCCGTATAGCTGAGCGAGTGCACAAACTGGTACATGCGACAGAGGAACTCGCCGAAGACCCAGCTGAAAATAGTAAGAAAATGGATTGTATACAAATTACAATTAAGGTTTTATAGTTCAATTCGATGAACTAGTTTAATGACTGATTTCATAGCCTGTTACTTAATTGAGAAGAGAAAATAGTTTCATACGGACTCAATACAAAATAGTTCCATAATTAGACTAAACTTATTCACTAGATTACAAGTTCGGGAAAATAATTCCATATAAATTCGACTAAATTCGATGGTTCCACAGGTGACCTGAACTTTCTGATTAGTTCACAAGTTCATTTTATTGTGTGTTCATTTAATGTGCGCAGAATAGAAGCTCTCTTTGTCAAACGAGTGGGCGGATCAGGTGGGTAGGTGGGCGGGCGAGACATATCAAATGTTATGACACGCCCACCGCAAACTAATGCCGCATTAAGGTGTCATTTGAGCACGTTGTGGCAAGAGCTTTTGCACTTTGCCATCATTTTTATATTTTCTCTTATTGCATTAGGCGGCCTGAAATTGTAGCCTCGGGCTCATTGTGCCCATTGAGGATTAACACGTAATTCTATTTTGTGGAACAGCTTATCCGCCATAAGAGGAAAATGTCAGAATTTCTTCTACTTCTTCGCCTTCTTTAAACATATTTATATATATATATATAAATATTTTATTTCTTTCTTGGCCAAAAGGCATTAAAAAATATTGGCAACTGGCTGGCATTCCGTGCTACAGGTGAAAAGCATCAAATTGTTGAGCTACTTAGATATCCATTAAAACTGAAAGCTTTCGGAATGCAGTCCTCGAGCATGAGACATGCGAATGGCCATTAATCTGCCTGATTTTCTTCTTCTTCACAGTCGAAGCAGAGCTCTTAAAAATACATTTTTGATTTGTATAAATAAGGCCTCTTGAAGGTATTCATTTTACAAAGGGACGAATATTATGAGAAGTGAGGAATCGTCTTTTGGGCATTTGATTTAGTTTAGTTAACTCTTGAAAGAGTTATGTCAGATATTTCGTATATTTAACCAGAGATCAAAACTTAACGGACAATTGAATCAGTCATATATTTATTTAATTTCGCAAATGAAACTAACTTATTAACTGTCCTTTTGTTTTTAATAATCTTTAAATATAATTTTTTTATATTTTTTTATTCAAAATTGTTATACATAATTTTCAACAGACTTCGCACTTACCTGTCTATAAGGTAGATGGAGAGGTTCTGCATAACACAGAAGAGACCCACGCAGAAGTCGGCAAAGGCCAAGTTGGCCAAGAAAAAGTTGGTGATGGAGCGCAGACGACGCGACAACGTGACCACCAATATAACTAGTAGATTCCCTGGAAGAAGCAGAAAAGAGAAGAATTACAGTTATTGAGTCTTTGTGTTTCTGTTGATTTTCAAATTAAAAAACATAACATAATGTTTGCCGCTCCTTTCACAGTTGAGCAAAAAGTCAACGCATAACTGGTGCAGTAACTTTTAGCAGCCATCGTAGACACAAACACACATACATAATAATGAATGGCAACTTTTGTCGTAGTCCCTTGACGTCTGGTTTAATGTTGCGTTGAAAGTTTATTTTAATTAGGGTTTTCATTCATGCCACAACTCTAGCCATGTGTCTGCTTGCCTCTCGCTCTCTCCCTGTCTGTTAGCCTTAATTAAATGCAAACCTTGCCAAGTGGATTTAACTGACAGCAGCAGCATCAGCCAAGGGCCTATGATATGTGGCCAACAATTGAATAGAATGTACAGCACGCTAAAGCTAATTGTCACAGCTGTTCAAACTTTGCCAAGACTAAAGCTGAATTAGTGTTAAAAAATACAAGCTGTCAAATTTCGAATAACAATTTGCCACAGATAGCGCAACCTATGTTAGTTAATAATTGTGTTTCGAATAAAATATGTGAGCTGCATTTGCGATGAGAAACAAACTCGAAGTATTGAGAAGCGTTTATCTTTAACTTGAATATCGAGCATAGTCAAGAAATATACTTCATTTAGGTTCTTATATTTTCGGTTCGATATCTTTATTTGGCGTAAACTTCAAATGAAAGCACGATTAACAGATACCCATTCATTCTACGATTCTTTTATACATAAAAAACTATTTTTGTATACAATTCTTTAACTAATATTATATATTCAAAATATATTATATATCATATATATACTGAATATACCTATCTATATATATCTAGTATTAATATTTATACTTTTTACTCGTCTTGTCTGTCAGTCGGTTCATCTGACCATCATCATCTCTCTACTTATGGGAGGCATGGCAAATTGAAAATTGGTTTGCATATTACTAGGTAATTGCAACCGAATATCTCTATGAACTCGCAGAGATTGGCATTATCCAAAAATATTCAAAAAATATCAGCTCCAGAACTCCAATATTTTGCTATTGTCTTACTGATGGTCTATTGATCAAGCAAATATATATATATATATAAATGAAAAGTCAGACTTATAATCACATCAAGACTAAAAGGTAGGATAACTCTTTTAGAGCTATGAATTATGACTTAACTTGAAGCTAAGCTGAATATACCTAAGTCAGGCTAAAAAGTCGTCTATATATATCAATTAAAATAAGCCTTTGAATCTAGTTTCATGGCTTTTATCCAGACTTATATGTATATATGTCCGTATATATATATTTTCTTATATTTTTGAACAAATGAAATAAAGGCAAACATGGAAACTTTTGTTGTGCATACGTAGCAAACGGAACTCCGGCACGGCGTTTACAAGTCCGTACTCCACATTTGGATAGCCCGGCGGAGAGCGCGAAGGGCACTGCAAGGGTAGAGATGAATCAGCCTTGAGAACATTTTGTACGGGTTGTGTTACGCTCTGAGTTTTCGAATTGTTTGAAGTAATTAAAAAAGTTTCAGTTGAAAACATTTTATTTCCCATTCTTTTTTGCTTTTCTGCCTGCCATTTGCCAACAAATAATGAAACGAAAAAAATGTAAAATAATATATTTTGTCTCTGACTGTTGTTGGCCGTAATTCACATATTTAGCAAATATACATATATATATATATTTGGGGTATAATTTATGAGCTTTTGGCTGAGCTCTAATTAATGTTTGCAGCGGTTGTTTCAACTAGTTGCAACTTGTCCGAACAGTTTTACAATCTACAATGCGTGTTTATATTACACAATTTGAAACTATGCCAAATAGAGAGAGAGAAAGAAGGAGAAAGATATAGCATAATTTATGTAATTTAGTTAACATTTTTACAGCATTTAGAGCCCAATACAAGCAATAGTCGCAGCTCGAATGCAACATTTTGTTATTGTAAATTTAATTTGTTGCCTCTTTAAAGACCACGAACCGAATTATAATCCATCTAAGTCCTTAACCACACACGGTTGCCAGCATGTTGCAATGGCCTTCGCCTTGGGTTTCAGTTTTCAGCTAACTCGTGGTGCAATTCCAGGAGCAGGTATAGTATGTGCGTGTGTGTGAGTGTGTGCGTGTCAGTATAAATATATTTAAATATATTTAAATATATTTATATATAAATATATTTATATTTAAATATTTAAATTGAAAAGGATGTAAAGCATAAAAAAAAGAGAGTGAAAGATAGAATGTGATAGAGAGAGAGAGAGGGAAAGAAAAAAAGAAAGACAGGCAGTTGAAGAGCGAGAGAGACTGAGAGACAACAAGTAGCACAGAGAGAGCGAAGTGAGTCAGATAAAGAGAGATTGCTATATATCTATTTTACTATGTAGAAGAGTTCTTTAGAAAAGAACAACGATTTTTAGACATTCAGACACATTTCAATTAATTTATTATCAGAAGATGCGATATCAGATAAAACATGTAAAAATGTTGCAGTCGACAGCAAATCACGTCAGAGCTGAAAGGCTTCTAGGGTATGCTTCAGTGCAATCAAATGCATACTGTGGTGTCCACTGTTAATATTATTTCTATTTACACTCTGGCCTTGGGCTGTTTAGTTTTATGGCAAATTGCGCATACGCCTCGTGTGACGGCACATAATGAATGATTGCATTAATTAGTCAATCGGGCCATTATGTGGATTCTGGCTTTAATTAGAGCGACATTCATTTCAATAGCTTAACAACAACAATTCTGTCAGGCAACGACAATTGCTTGTTGCAATCAATTAAGTTGTTTCGGCTGCTTGGCGACGTTGTCTTCCCTTATTGTTTTTATATTTCTTTTTGTTGCGTATTAAATGAATCGTGAGATAGATGAGAAAGGCGCTTTGGAGTTGGCTAGAACATGCAAAGCAGTTGGCCATAAAATGTGTCGGCTCCACAGTAGGTGTTGCTGTTGTTGTGTTCGTTTGGCCGAAGCGATGACACGACACTTTATTGCCTTCTGGCTAGTACAGAGACAATTTTAATAAGCCTGGGTCTACGTGTGCGTGTGTATGTGTGGTGTTTAATTTGCCACTAATTGCTGCACTCCTGGGCAGCAATTTGCAGCACTTGACGCTAGGACCAACAAAACGCTTCATTTAATTGCATTGCATTTGCTTTTAAGCTAATGCGAATTAGCTAAAGCCAACAATTTAGAGATTTTAGAAGACAGGCAATTCTAACAGTACCTATATATGAATTGAACAAAATATATTATTATATGATAGAAATATAAATAAAATAAATGAAATATAATTTGAAATTAAAATACAATATAAAAAGTATTAAAATAATAAATAAATAATATAAAAAAATTAATAGAATATAAAAATGAAATATTAAAATAAATAAAAAGAATATGAACCTTAGTAAAATAAAATAAAAATAAAGTTTAAAAATAAGTAATATATAAATGTTAAAAACAAAAATAAATAAAATGTGAAAAAAGAAGATATAAATATAAATTAAATACATATTAAAAACAAGTAAAATATATATTTGATTTATGAAAATAAAATCAATAAATATATAACTTTTTATTGTATTTAAAATATTTATTTGTATTTATTTATCAGTGAAATATCTTCAGAGCCCTCGTCTTATTCATCTTAACATACATAACATTCAAAAATAGTCTAGGATTCAAGATTTTCACGAGATATCTCAACAAAATAAATATTTCTAAATATATGTCTATATATATCTAAAATGTATAAGGAATAACATTTAAAAAGAAAGAAAATACGTAAGGTATTTTCATGTTTCTTTGCATAAACAGTTCATTGATTACAACATCAACAATTCTCTTTTTCGGTTAACTTTTGAGCTAAGAGAAACAATGGAAAAAGGAAAAGCCAACCACAAACTGAAAGTCGGTCAAGCGGTCAAGCCACAAAAGAGTGCTTCAGTCCTTAACCATATCTGAAGTATTTTTTTCTTCTTTTTGTTAGAGGACAGCTATGAGCTGCTGAGTAATTGGCAAGTGAGCAGTTAGCAGGGACACCCAGTTGAATAGAGAGAGATAAAGAGAGTGTGTGTGAGAGAGAGAGGCAGAGACGGAAGACAAAAGGAAACAAAAGCATAGCCAAAATAAGCAACTAAATGAATATATAACACAATGTGAGGTCTGGGATCGATGCCAACAGCACATACCAAAAGCCAATTTGCTTTTGCTGGCTTGGCAACAAAATTGTTGGCTAAGAAACCTTATTAAGCTGGGAGTTGAGCGCAGGTCAACAATGAATCAATTCCTATTTCTTTAGAAGGTTTTTACTAGTTAAAAGTAAAATAAGCTCTGAGAGGTTGGGCAAAAAGATAACAAAGATTCAATTATGCTTAACTGTAACTAGGCAGAACAGCTATAAGCTCAATTGAACTGGCTAATGAAATGAGCTGCTGAACTTGCTTGCTAAGCTGTGAACTAACGAGATTAGTCGCTCATGAACGATGCGGATAATCGATCATAAGCGATGCCTGATAAACTGTAGTCATGGCGATTCATGAATCATACTTTTCATTGAACTAATCAATAATCAACTGAACTAGCAAATATCTGTCAGTGCTGCAAACACAGAAATAGTTCAATCGAACCGAATGGCACTACTGAACTTCCTTGTCAAGCTGTCAGCTTAGATGCGTGGACTGTCACAGAGGATGTTTATGGATGAGGCATTTTCCTGAGCTCTACAGTTTCAGTTCATTGAGTATAGAGAGCAATATAAATTATTTATTATTTATTTATTTCAAGAAGACCGAAGTTCAGTGTAAAGTAATTTCCATGAAAATTGTTCATGAACTATAAGTTCCGTTTAGCTTATAAACTAAAGCAATTTCAAATTTGATTCATCAAATATAGAACTAGGAACTGCCAATTGTACTTACCGAAGAAGCAGCAGCAGAAGACAATCGTATAGAGCGTAATGAATATAATGCGCACATCGGTGCGATCGAATATATATTCGCTCGTATTTTCAACATCCTTTACTTCCTGTTTAGCTGCTTCAGTTAGTTCGCTCAAAACGAGAGCTGTGGTCACTGCTGCTGCTGTTGGTGTTGCTGCTGTTGCTGCTGTTGCTAATGTGGCTGCTGTCTCATTAATAGATAATGCGATTTCCGTGACGGTCACATTGAGTGCCAGGCTCGAGTCATTGCCAGTCGCTGATAATGAGCAATCAACTAGGAGCATCAGCAGCAACAGCAGCGGCAGTGGCAACGCGCGTGGGTGTAGGTTGTCTGTTAGCAGTTGTTGTTGCTGTTGGCAATCTAGTAAGCCGGAAACGTTATAATTTGTAGTTGGAGCTGGGCTATTGCCGGCTTCATTCTCATCATTATCATCATAAGCCGCTGATATGTTTGTGCCGACAGTGTTGCGCAGTTGTTTATGTGCTCCTCTCTGCCCAGCTTCCGTTTCCGTTGCTGGCCGACGACGACGACGTTGACGCTGCCGCTGCCTCTGCCAGAATGACGGTGCCGACGTCCATTGTCGGCTGTTAGCGCTCATAATGCTAATAATGCGTTGCAGATGCAGCTAAAAAGACAGACAGAGAGAGAGAGAGAGAGCGAGTGAGAGAGAGGGTGATATCAGATGAGTTTGAGCTGTAGATAGTTAAGTGGATGCACAGTTAGCTTTAATCAGCTATTGTTGTTGTTGTTGCTGCTGCTGTTGCTGTTGTTGTCGTCAGAACGCAACGACCTAAAACCACCAAAGCACTTATTGCTGATTAAAATTTACTGAAGCAAGTTGCGAAATTAACATTTTACACGAAATTTTAATATCAGCCTGCAGAACTTGTAGCTACTGAAAATTACGCATACGCCATGTTCAACAGCGCGTGCTATGAGCTGAGCTGCTATGCCTATGAGCTGAGCAAATGCTGCTCATGTTATTTTCTTTTATAATAATCTAATTAATGAGTACAATTAATGAAGTGCACGAAGTGCTGCCACCCTGTACCTGTAATAATTTAAAATAAAAAAAATATATATATATAAATATAAGTTCTAGAAGAAAAACTAATTGCAAAACCTAAAATCCTCTACGTGAGGGTGACAGCGGTAATTTGGAGAGAGTCACAAAGTCTTCTGTATAAGTTAATAATGTCCTGCCATCTGCCACAATTAAATACAGGGTATACGCGCAGTACAGGCGCAGTCATTTATAGCTAAACAAGATGTAATGAAATTTGGTAACCAAGAATTAGATTAAGCTGTAGCAAATGGTTTTGATGTGCTGCATTTGAATGTGAAGCCAGAACAGCTCTATTATGGGATATGAAAGGGTAGATTTGAGGTCATCTACATACGAATATGTACAATATTTAGTTCTATTCTAAAAATTATTAAGAATTAAGAATTTAACGTATATTCGATTGTCGGGCTCTAATTTTTAATCCATTCTGACAGCTCAGTTGCAGAGCAATAAATATCTATAAAAATCTTTGGCCAAGTAAAAAGATAGTCCTAAGAATTCATCACATAAAGTCAACATCGAAGCTGGAACTGAACAAGATCCCTAAAAATTCATTTTTATAGTGTTTGAAGATTGGATAAAATCATTGGCACAAGTGTTAAGTGTCTGATGGGAATTACTTTGTAGGGCACAAAATATATATTCATGAATAAATTAATTTTTTTTTTCAACAGAAATTTTGCAATCTCGAATCTGAGTTTCGTCTTCAAAATCTTTTATTCATTTTCATTTGAAAAAATGTAGATATTTTACTAATGCAAGTAGCTCCAACTTTGAAATCGTAACTTTGCTTTCAGTAATTTAAGGAACGTTCAAAGACACAAAGTTATTCAAGTTTTTAATCATACTCAATCCTGTTGAACTGTGTTTTACAATCACTTTGAACTATATCAACGGCTAATTAGGCTTCTGTATTAAATATGTTCATAAAAATAAGACTCAACTGTCAAAAATCGTGACAATTTTTTTTCGTTGTTTTACAGGCGCCGACATTGGACATTATTGTAAGAGTCCGACTGCTGGAGTACTGCGTGCTTGCAACAGGGCTTTAATTACTTGATAGCTATTTCCCTTGCTGCTGTGCGAGTGTGTGTGTGCGCGTGTGAGTTTGTCTCCACATATGAGTACACAATTAAACGAGTCCTTATTAATTAGAGCACGTACAAAAAGGAGGGACAAACACAGAGAAGTGGGCAATAATCAAAGCATTCTTGGCTGAGGGCCGACGAGGAACAGCCACGGCAATGCAACGAGGAGTTCGAGGTTTTGGCTACCTGCACTTTATGCACTCGCATAATTAGCAACGAAACGTGTTGCATATTAAAAATAATGAGAATAATAAAAACAGGTAGAGAGAGAGCGAGATCGAGAGAGAGAGAGAGACTGTGTAATATTGCTTACAATTATGCGTTCATACACATTATGGATACATTTAAGATATTTGTGGAATGCTTGCGGCATAAATGTTACGGCAGCTACGAAATTATCAAAGCGCTTTTGCAGACCTAAATAAACACGAAGACAATCAAAACTTCTGTGCCAGGCTATGCGTTGCTATAGTCATTATACTCGGGCACTTGGTAACAAGAGTTTATTAGTTTCGAATCTTTGTTTGTCTTATCCGTTTTCAAAGCTAAAGACTACAAATTTGTTATATAAAATTTGAGATTTCTTTTTGCAAATGTTGCACTGACTGCATAACACTCGTTCACGATCTCAAAGCAGTTAAATCGCAAACTCTATCGAGTCAGCAGCTACTCAACTTTCAAATGTTGAAATGTTGTTGCTTGAATAGCTGCGAAATGGTTTGCGCTCATACCTACAGACATCCAGAGATTACACAGAACCAATATACTCTCTTCAAAGTATGAACAAGTATAACAGCGATACTCTTTTGGCAAGTTCTGCAAATGAAAAACTATTTAACTCATTGTCTTCTGACTTAAGTGAAATGTATTCGACTTTCAATGTATTCGATGTGAACGAGTATTAAGGAGTCAGTTATGCTTCGAAACACGCTTCTTGCTCGTTTTCTTTGGGCTTATCTGATCACAAGCGTTAAGCGGCTAAATGTTTCAATTATGCTCATTATTAAAGTCAGTTTAATTAAAATGAACATTTCAGCTGGACAGACCAAGAGATGTAGAGACTGCCAGAGTCAGAGAGGAAGAAAGAGAGAGATGGAGAAAGAGAAGACGTACACGAAAGAGACGGCGGAAAACTTTTATTGCTGACAGAGTCACGATTCTCTACATTAAGTTTAATTGCGTTGAGCAGGAATACAACAAAAAATACGAAGCAAATAAAAAATACCTGAGTGCATTGCGATCCACGTGGCAGACAAGAAAACCTAAATAAATATCGGATGTGACTGTCAAAGGTCACAGGCAAACTTGACGCTGATAAGAGGAACAGATATTTTATTTAGTTCGTCAATATATTTACCAAAATAAAACCAATTTCAGAGTGCCACATGTATATGTAGTGTGTGACAACATTTAGTTATCAATTAAGCTGCTGTCATGTAGAGGCAGCTGGTCAAAGGCATTTGAGCTACTTTCCAACTCGACTCAATAAAAACTCATGAATGTTATTCAAAAAAGTTTTTTCCTTTGTTTTTACTCAATTAAAGCCCAGGGAAAACAGTGCAAAAAACAACTTTGGGTAAACCCATTGGGTAAACGCAAACAAAACAATGGCCCGAAGTGGCAATCAAATACAGAATGAAGCGTCGCAAATAAACTTTCCAGCTTTACGCCCGCTTTTCTACCTACACTACACCACATCTCTACCTTGCCCCTCGATTATCGTGCTGTGCACTTTGTCGGCAAAAAAAAGAAAAGTTTTCTGCACTTTGTCTGCGGATGAATAGCAGCAATAGCAGGATATGGGTCAAACAGCAAGAACAGCAATTAAAGGCAACACTTAATTGACTGAAATTATAATTGATGAGGCCGACAAAGGGAACTGCAGCGAACTAAACAAACAGCTCTTGTATCGTAAAAGAAAATAAGTATTTTAGCTCTTTAGAATTCTATAATATATGCTTTTTCTGGTTTAGTTAATATGTTTTATTATTATTATCAATCATTATCATCAATCATTATTAGGATTATCTTTAAAAATGTTAATTTCATTCGTTTACTCATCATTCATTGTCATTGTCATTGTCAGTGTCATTGTCATTTTAACTATCGATTTCAGTGTGAATTGAATATTTTGATATGAGTTGATAGACCAATTAAATATATCATTGCAAGCGTTTATTAACAGCATTAAGCGATTGAATATAGGAAACACGGATTAGTACAATTTTGCAAGTGTATAAATATTTAAATGTCATTTGGTAATTTTGCCTTTGAGTAGTAGACAAAGCCCAGCTCTTGCGCAATGTGATTTTGTAGACTAGACAGATCTCATTGAAATATAATCCGATTAGCTGCCATATTTGACTGAATGGAGCAGAGAGCTGTGTGTGTATCGTGTTTCATGCTCTTTGTTTGTCTCTAGCCAAAGATGAGGATTACAACATGCTGGTAGCCAGATATCTATACTAGCATACGCAGCTGCCATTGGCATATAATAAGCATTTCGATACCGAAACGCTGCAGTTTGTTCATCAATGTTTGGCTTAAGCTCAGGCGATACGTTCGCCCTTTAACAAACAGTCCCCAGCAAACTGCAAAACTGTCAACTAATGTCAAATGCAGGTGCACATCGACATCGAGGTGCAAGGCAGGCGACTCGACTCGACCCAGCTACTTGCAGCGACAGTTGTTTAGGCTTAGCCAAGAGTCACGACTGCAGCTGACTATGGCAGGCATCGGGATTAGTTTGCCTCTAAGTGATATTACATGCTACTTGAGCGCACATTTTCACGCCAGGTGTGTGTAACAAGCGCACACACAAACACACTGAAAAACACATTCAACAGCCTAGTGACATTTGCTGCACACAAGTTACTGCAACTAGCTGCTTGCCACATGCAACTTGTTATGCAACAGCACACAGCGCAGTAGCGAAGAGCCAACAAACACTTTACATGCTTCAGACTTGGTATCAAGAGTCGCATAAAATATATATGCGCTGAAAAGTCGTTACGATATACATACTTCTCAGTATATATTTTATTTAAATTTGGAAAAGCTATTCAAGACTTAAGAAAACATGTAACTTGTAGAATGGATAGACCAAAATGACCTATAAACTAAATTAAACTTTAATAACAGAAAATTTTAATAACAGAAAAATAAAATAAAATAAAATATATATATTTTTTTATTTAAATAATTTAATTTTTTATAGATTTTTTTAAAATATTTTTATATTTATTTTTTAACGCACAGTTTATTGAATATGAAGTAGGCATTAAAATTTGAATAATCTCTGCTGGGCCATTGTGAAATTTACAAAAGCAATGAATGGTTTAACATAGTTTTCAAAAACCTATATATCAAAAAAATACACCAAATGCCTGCCAATTTGCAGCTTAATTGTGATTTCGTATGCAAATTGCAGTGAAAAAAAAGGCGAATGCCGGGGCAATGTGTGGAAAATGG